GTGAAGGCATTCTAACATGGGACAGCAACTCAGGAATATTTGTTTCTACTCCCAGAATCTTTACATATTTCTCATTCTCATAAGACATGTCAGCATTATTTAGCAGTGTGCTGTTCCCTGGGGTGAATGTGCTAAGAGACAAACACAGTCAACTCTGCTGGGTAATTAGACATCTCTCTGAGGCACAGGCACAGAAATGCTGGTCCACGTCCGAGGCTCCTGTGAGTTTCATCCAAGGGCATCCACCTCATATGACTTCCAGTGTGGGAGCCATGTGAAAGGGCCCAAGACTGAGGGACAAGGACAAGAAAATCACGTGAAACTTGTTTCACCTTGCAAGACCAGGCAAGGCACTTAACCTGGCCCTGCATAGTGTGCTAATCACTCATTCCTTTAAAAAAAACATACACTTCTTTTTCATGTGAGTTAGCCATGTAAATCTATATTCTCCCATAAAAAGCCACAGACTTAGGTCAAGTATATTTGGAGAACTTGGGCAAAGATTGAAATGTGCAATAAAAAAAAAGAGGAGAAAATGAATGTGTGTTCCCTCTGAAGCCACTCAGGTGTGACAGAAGCTATCTGTGGTGAAAAGATTGGGCTTCAGCCATCTGCTAGCAGTCATATTCAGCTGAAGGAATCAAACCAAACAAAAACAAAATGAAGTTCTCATGTCTCATGAGTTGTGTTTCTGATAATGACTTGTCCCCAAAACTAAAGAAATGAAGAGAATTCTGCCAAATTAAACTACTATACAATATGGGAAAACCAATGGAAGCTGTGGAGGCCAAACCTGTTTCTAAGAATAAAAAAATAATCCTTGTTAGAGAATATTCTAAATATTTTGGATGCCATCATTCATGTATCATTTTCATCCCATATATAAGACAAGAGGTGCAGCTGGAAGAATGGGAGAATCTCTCCCCCAGGTTTGGGTGCTATGTTCTAAATGACTCGAAAGTAGAGGAGAGGCAGGATGCCTAAAAGGATCAATATTTCCACAGAAGAGCTCATGCTCTTGGATTTTACAATGAAATGAAAAATAGGGCATAACCAAAGGTGGAGATAAGCATCCAGAACATGACTAAAATAACTATTTCCAGAAATCTTAGATGCCTTGAAGATCTGGAAAGTTTCTAAGAAAATGAGAAATAGCTGATTTCCAGAGAAGAAATGAAGGGTACAGCCTGAAGTATGGGGCAAGGGGCTTTGAGAGGAGCTATTCTGTGCTAGTTTGCTCTGTCTTTCTGATAAGAAAAATGATCTTCAAGGAGGAAATTGGAAAGCACATTTCCTATTAGAGAGTTGACTCTCGGGATAGATGAGAGAATTCTAAAAGCACTATCTACTCTGAGTCTAAGTCGTAGGTAATTTAAAAAATTCACCTAGAACCCATTTTCTCCTCTTTTCTGAAACCAGATTCTTCTCATTCTTTCTTGGATGTCTGATGAAATGGAAAAAGCCAATCACAGGGTCCCTTCTCCTAATCCATTATAGGCATTCCTCTCCCAGGGACTTTCTTCTGAACTTGGAATTGTCTACTGAGTCAGGAAACTGCATTAGCTGAAAGGAGGATAAAACTCATCTATACAGCAAGAGATAAAAACAATCAGAGTTAGAATTACTCTTTTTTTCTTTTCTTTTTTTTGGTACCAGGGATCAAACTCCGGTCCTTGCGCTTGCAAGGCAAGCAACGGAACCACTTAATTGTTGCTAGAGTCTCAGTTTTGGTCATTTAATTCTTGAAACCTGCCCTTTCTTTAATTGTGTTCATCTCAGCATCAATAATTTCTGCATCTATTACTTGCATGTTTTAGTCAAGGATGAGACAGGTTTCTATGACAGGTAACCACAAGAATCCAAAAAACAATAACAACAAAGCAAAGACCAAAAACGAAAAACAAAACCAACAAAAAAACTTGTCATGACCTTGGTTAATGCAAAACAGACCTGTAGGTAAGGCTGTGGAATGGTTGTGTCTTGTTGTTGAACATTTATGTAGAATTGGAGAGAGAATGGAGGAGTTGAGAGGCCTTAACAGTTCTTTCTTTTTTTAAATTGTATGTTTCATTTATTAGTGCATATTTGTAGTGCACAATGAGCACATTCATCATGAGGAGTTGGTACATGGACGTAACACACCTTAATTCTTTTTTTTTTTTTTGGTACCGGGGATCAAACTCGGGTCTTTGTGCTTGCGCAGCAGGCGGGGAAACCACTGAGCTAAATCTCAGGCCCCAACACACCTTAATTCTTTTTTACTTCCCTTTCCCCTTGCCTCTCCCCATCCTCCCTCCATCTCTTGGTCTGCTTCCCATTTGCAAAAGATGTCTCTGTTTCCTGTTATCTATCTTTGATTTTGTTCTTTAAATAGTGTATACTTTGGATCTGTCATGTGAGAGAAACCATGGGCTAGTTAGGCTTGTGTGTCTGAGTCACAGCATGTCACCAATCCTGGTCAGCAAAGGGTGAGCGGAAAACCCTCCTGGTACCAAGTTGAGAGAAGTGAAGTCCAGCTCACTGCCAAGGCTCTTTCTACAGGAAGCCCACCCCTTCCAAGTACTCTATCAGAGAACATATAAAAGCACGTGTAACTTAGATTCATGTTTAAAGATGTTCTAGAATATTTTGAGGAAATGCAAATATCAATAGTTACAATAACAAAATACAATATCTCAATCAAAATGATGCTTGGAACCTGATCAAATTTGTACATGGTTCATAGTGAAGTTTGACCTCTTGTATATTTCTTTTTTATTAATAGGTATTTGTGATGCTTAATATTTACATTCATTTTGAGCAACTGGTACATATATGAGGTATGATAAAAGTTTGATGAATGTTTAAATTAAAAAAAATTATTACAGTAAATCACATTGCCATGAATCCCCCTCAAAACCCTTTCCTTAGCTTCAAACACACTCATCCCATTGTCCTTGTTACTTTCTGCAGCAGGTCTGGAATCTGCTTTCCTGAGGGTCTTTAGCTGCACTGTCCTGGCTGCCTCGATGTCAGAATTGATTCACAACATTCCCCTTCATGGTCACTGTGACTTTGGAGAAGAGCCAGGAGTTACACAGCACCAGATCTAGTGAGTAAGGTGGATGAGGACACACTATAATGTTTTTATTTGACAGAAATTTCCATAAACATTCATTCCATTCCATGTGGTCAAAAAAGACAATGAATGTTTAAATTAAAAATTTTATTACTGTAGAAGACACATTGCCATAAATCTTCCTCAAGTTACCCCAAATAGTCCCCCTTGCTTTGAATACATTCCGGCATTCTTGGCAATGTGTATTTTATGGTAGTAAGGTGGTTTTTTTTCCAATTTAAACATTTGCAGTATTTTTGATCCTCCCTTGTATCTATTATATCTTGGTCATTTTGAGCTCCTCCTCCCTTTCCCTGTGCCCTAAACTGACTTCCAATGGACCTCTACGGCCAGCTCCCCCAGCCAGCTGCATTGCCACATCTGCAGACCTGGCCTGTTTCAGGGAGCTGCTTCTTGCTCCCCACCACTTTCTGTGCCTGCAGCTTCCTTCTAGCAGCTCCTTCTCTCTTGGACTTTTAAATTGTGTCTATCAGGTACTTTGCTTATTTTACTATTGAGTTAATTTCCTCCTGTATTCAGCATGGCTGGACAAAGTCTTTACCTCCCGACAGTCACAGAATTCAGTTTCTATTTACACCACTTCTATTTATACCACATGCCCCGAATACTCCATGTGTCTAAGGTAGATCTTGCCTATCATTTATGTTTCTATCAGAGATGATTGGAGCTTCCTGAAAGATTCCACTTTTTCCATCTGGTACAAGTACATCTTACTCTGCCTTTCTCACACCTCCCATGGAAATGTATATTTATGTCTCTGTGTAAATATCATTACTAGAAGAAACATATCACTTACTGTGTACAAAATACATGTGCATGAATTGACCCATCTACATATGAAAATAAAAGGTGGGTTCAACAACTCTAATCTCAAGGAAGATGTTACTTTATGATGTATTTTTTCTATTGTTAAAATGACAAATTTGCAAAACCTGAGAGTTTACACACACAAATTCATCATCTTAAAGCTCTGGATCAGAGACCTGAGTAGGTTTGTGGGTCCTCTGCATCAGAAATGCTCACTGTTGGCCTCAAGATCAGGTATGTTGGCCCCTTGGTCCCTATACTCACCCTACTTATGAGTTTCCAAGCACACTAAATGCACACAAACCCTGGAGTTTGTCTCTAAAGGAAACATCCTCCTCCCGTCAGGACCCTTGGAAGAAGTCTGGGTCCCCACACAGCATGATTCCAATCAAGGAGAGTTTCAGACCTTTGTCCAAAGTTGAGGTCCAGCCTCCAATTCCAGCTCCTCCCCAGTCCAGCCCCCCGCTTCCCTAACACTCTGACTTAAAAGGAACCACAAGAAACATTTGTCCTTGTCTCTCTAGGGACAGCTTCTCAAAGCAAAGCATTAAACTTCCAAGCTTTTCTTGCTTTTTAAAATTAAAATCAATTATATAAAGTATTACAATTACTATGGAGATCAGTATAGAGATTTTTCAAAAAACTAAAAAGAGAAATTCCATTTGATCTAACCTTTCCCCTTCTAGGTATCTTCCTGCAAGAGTTAACGACATCGTATCACAGTGATTCATGCATAATACCCATTTACAGCAGCCCAACTCATAACAGCTAAATCTTGGAAGTGGCCTATATATCCTTCAACAGATGAACTGATAAAGAAAATGTGATATTTACACACAATGGAGTACTACTCTGCCATAAAGAAGGATAAGCTTGAGTCATTTGTAGGGAAACAAATTCACCTTGAGACCAAAATAGTGAATGAAATGAATCAGACAAACAAGGCTAAATATTGTGTAGTTTCTCTTATATGAGAAATCATATCCAAAGTATAAGTAAAGATCAAGATGGCTGCCCCCAGTGAGCAGTGAGACGAATGTGGAGGTGGAGAGTTTGGGCTCTACAAACCTCACTCATGGATCGAAGTGTAGAGTTCAGAAAGCAGAAGGTGCAGTGTCTGAGCAAAGCGGACCTCAGCAGGAAGGGCTGCGTGGCCGAGGGTGTAGTAGACGTTATGCAGGTCCTGAACACGTGGGAACAGTTTTTCACCACCAGTTCCTGCGTGGGCCGCAAGCTCCTCATAGACGGGGTGAGGCCCCCCGTGCTCTCCCATACCTGCCCCTAGTGCATAACTTTAGGAGCCCTGTGACCACCTAGCGCTACATTCCGGCCAGCCTGTCTTCCCTTTGGTGGGTGGTCTCGGCTTCTCTGCTTAAGAAACTTAGGGATGAATTAGACCAGTGCATCTAAAACAATTGTTTATTAATCTCTTAGGGGGTCATTTAATAGATTCTGACTCCATTGATCAAAGGTCGGGCCAGTTTTATACATGTACAGCATATACAACCATCCCCCAAATGATGGTGCTACTGCCAGCCTGAGAGGTATCTCAAGTGGCCAGGGTGTTCATTTGATTTTCTGAATACTTAAGGAATTAAAAGAATTTTTAGTGTGGCGAGGTTCATGCCAAAGACCACATTTCAACCGTTTTACAAAGTCATCCTTTGTCCAATACTGAAACCACCAGGGTCAAGATATTCATTGCCTCCTCATGGCTAACTCCATTAGTACAGCTTTGGTAATTTTCCACCACAGTTAAGTAGTAGTATTATAGGCAGCTAAGTTAAATAGAAATTAATATACAGTCAGAGAGGGGCTGAGGCCTCAAAGAAGTCAGCACAAAAAAATGAAGACATCAGAATCGTGGCTGGAGGAGCATCTGAAGAAGGCCGGGCCTCAGGATGGAGATGCAATGGCCAGGCCTACATGCTCCTAAGAGATAAACAGTAACTGCAAATGATACTGTAATTAGTACCACCTGGTTCAAGAAGTCCAGCTACACATCAGTGTAAAAGAGGATGTGATGGTAGCTCTGAAGAAAGCCAGTGGCAATGAAGTTTTGAAATTTGAGCCACTTGTCCTTCACATGCAGTGCCGGCAACTGCAGGATGCACAGCTTCTGCATTCAGTAGCAGTTGATTCTGATTTCAGGAACTCTGGCATCACAGTGGGAAAGAAAGGAATGACTATGTTGGCTGTCTGGAGTACACTTGGCTTAGAAGTTCCATTAAGCAATCAGGGAAAATTGATGGTGACAGAGGAGTATATTGACTTCCTGTTAAATACAGCACATCAAAAAATGGAGGAAAACAAGAAAAGAACTGAAAGTTTCGTTATGAACAATGGAAAGATGATTGAGATACTAGATGATAGTAAATCAGACTGTGATGGCCCCTAAGTGGAACATACAGGGGAGGCTTGCTCAGAGATGGCTGGGCGTGTGGCCACTAATAAAGGGCATCAATGTCATCATTCCAGAAAGAGCCCAACAGTGACAGAACCCAGCAGTGGTTTTACAACTGCCTGCCACGTGCTTTGGAAAGAGAAACAATCACTAACTCACACCCCAAGATCAAAGAGAAAAACAACCCATCTTGTTCTCCTAAGAAAGAAAGAAACCCAGCAAAAGCACATGGCAAACGCATCCCTGAAGAAAATGATAAAGAAATGGAAAATGATGTCGATGATGACTGAGGACTCGGCATTACTATCTTCCCTGAAGACTACTAAGATTTGGTTCTGAAGTGTTTTGGTAAAATATTGTTTGTAGCCGGGGATTTAGCTCAGTGGTTCTACTGCCTGCCTTGCAAGCGCAAGGTCCTGAGTTTGATCCCTGGTACAAAAAACAAACAAAATATTGTTTGTAATAGATTTTATAAAGCTGCTCTTTATAAGAGTATTTTAGTTGCTGAGTATATTAGCTGTCAAAAGCAAGATCTAATTTCTCTGTAATTTAGAGAAGCCCATCTCACGATCACAGGTGGCTTTTAAAAAATACCTTTGTGTACTGTTTGCTCATTAAGTATTGCCTTTTTTAGGCATATAACATCATTACAAAAATAAAATTAGGATTTTTAGTGCAAAAACTCAAGTTTTTCAAAGTATTTTAAATGTTATAGATAATTTTTATTACTAGCAATGGCTTTGCAGATCACGAATGATGTAAATTTTATGTAGTGATCCACATAAACTCAGTTCTACCAGAAGTGTATCAAATTATTGAGGAGAAAAGTACAAACTGTCATGGACATCTTCTAAATCACTTCTCTGAAGGGTGAAAGAGATCAGAGGAATATCATGTACACATATGAACACGGGTTTAAAATAGAAAAATTGAGAATATATTAACCTGAAACTACCAAGAGCTCAATTCTTCTTTAATATTCTACTTTTCAAGAGCTATATTTAATTCAAATATTAACAAAAACAATAACAAAAGACTTCCATTGCTTATGATCTTGAAGGGAATCAACAGCCTTAGTTTTTTTTCTGCAAATGCTACTGTAATAAACCTGTTCTTGGTATTAATTGGCAGGTCACACCCTGTCTAAGGTGTTGGCACCTGGCAACAGGAGGGGCTAGAGTGTGAAATCATTTGTCTCTCCAAAGAGGATTAAAATACACATGACATCTTGTGATGTATTTTTGCTGTCACAAGTTTAAATCATTAGAGATGGGGATTTTAAAAAAGAATACTGGAGATGTTTAATTTCAGAAGGTAAAAATTAATTGGGGCCTAAGAATGTTTCTAATGTAGAATAGAAAAAAAGATTGTTCTATGTTTCCAATAGGTTCATGTGAAGGCAGCCTTTATAAGTTATTGGGATTTTGTTTCTATTTAGAAGGTTAAGAAGTATTTTGCAAGAATTGTAACAAAGTGAATTCTATCAAGACACTATATTTCAATCATGGTTGACTATTGAAATCGCATGGGAGTCTGGTGTGGTGACACATGTATGCCCAGAATCCGAGCACCTCTGGAGGCTGAGGCAGGAGGAAGCTCAAGCCTAGCCTGTGTAACTTAACAACTTAACAAGACTTTGTCTCAAAATAAAAGGGTAGAGGACATAGTCCAGTGCGAAGAGTTTGTTTCAATCACCAGCATTGGGAAAAACAATCAGATGGGGAATTTAAAAAGTGCTGTGTTCTCCTGTACTTTAATTAATTCCTGTTCTCTTGGTGTGGACAATAGGCCCTGGAACCAGGATATATTGGGCACAAGTCTACCCAGGAATGATGTGACCCATGTCCTGATGAAATCTCAACAAAATGAAAAAAACCCCAGCAGACTGGGTTTATAAATTATTTGCTTCTTTAAGAACTGGAGATGAGGCAAGGGACTGGTAGGTAGTGTAAGAGAGTACGACATCAAGATACTTACTCAGGCCGAATTCATTTAGATTAACTTCTGCAGGAAGTAACAAGAGGAACTGGGAATCTCTTCTCACCATTTGACATCTACAGCATGAAGAGCCAGAAGGGTAGTTTGTAAGTGTTCTGAAGCAGATGCGTTCTGCAGGCTGAGCACAGAAAGGGTCCCATTGCAAAGTGCCGTAGAGGAGCAGGGTGCAGAGTTTTATCTGAGCAGGTGATGTGTGTCAGAGAGAGATACAGCAACCACAGTCAGATCTCAAGCCCCAACATCATGAGTTTCAAAGGATTTAAATTCACCTTGCTGTGTGAATGACTCTGACCCCCAGGCCCTGGACCTCAGGGTCCTGGAATTCTCTGCACCTGGGCTTCCTGTTCTGAGCACTCTCTCACCAGTGAGTGAGCCATGCTCCTTACTCTTCAGTGTGTCCTTTCCCTCTCCCAAGATTGATTTTGCCCATGTCTCTGGGGTTGCACCATCAACCTGAACATGGATGTAGGCTCTTCCCACCTAACCATTCTGGGCTCATAGAGTAAAATCATTCTCATTAAATTCAACAAGTCGGGTACTTAGGCACAAAGAATCTGAGAAACTAGGAAAGTATGGTAATTTTCACAAGGTAAATTGAAATAAAATAAAACCACAAAGAAATACATATCAAGCAGGATGAGGTGAGTGCACGCCTGTCATCCCAGCACTCAGAGAAGCTGAGGCAGGAGGATTACAAGTTTAAGCCCAGCCTGGGTAACTTAGCAATTTAGGGAGACCCTGTCTCAAAATAAGAAATAATTAAAAAGCTGGGGGTATAGCTTAATGGGAAGGCCCTGGATTCAATCCCTAGTACTAAAGAAAAATCACTGCTGGGTACCATTGGATCTTAGCCAGTTTAGATAACAGCATTCTGTTCATATGCTATTATTGGAGAGGACAGAAAATCATGCTGTATCTTTTACTCGCTTAACGTCTTATGCTTGGGTAACAACAGGAACACTGAGCCACATTGGGCTGAGCTGTTAATTAGTTCACTTTAGGCTGAGACAGCAGGAGTCATTCCCACTGGTTCTGACAGGCACAGGCAGGGGCCTTCCAATCCTAGCGGGTCAGAGTCAGCTTCAAGGGGGAGGATGTGGTCTCATGGACTGCACTGCAGAGAAAGCAATCTTGAACAGCAAAGCAAACCCACCTGGCCCCAGAGGGACTAACAGTCTACAAGGCCACTAGTGAGGAGGTGACATAAAGAACTCAGACCGGGGTGGCAGCTTCTGAGCCTCCATGTGCTGCCCACCTTCCCCAGGGCAAGTTCTCCGGCCACATGGGGACACACTGGGACCCAGTCCATCCATTAACTCACTTCAGCAAATCCCAGCCCCTCTTAGGGATCCACATTGGCTTTATGGGGACACATATTACAAACAAATTCATAAGACTGATTACTTATGTGTCAAAATGATTCTTCCTCTTAAAGAATGAAGGTTGTTTTTTTTTTTTTTAAATTCAACTTGCACTAATACATGTGTAGCACTTTCTGTTTGGTGAAAAAAATCAGTCCTGGAAACAAAGAGAATAAAACCTTCTAGGAATAAATTCATTACATAGAATGAAATATCTAATGTAGTCAGCATATGAGATTGTAACAGTACAAGAAAATGTCAAAACCATAAACTGTGTTTGGATTAAGGGCTATTATTTATTATTGAAAAAATAACCAGTTTTATGATTGTGGGTTATTTGTAATTAGTTTTATAAGATAAGGATGTTTCTTCTTTATTTCCTGGTTAATTCTTTAACTTTGTTGTGTGATATTTTATTTAAATGCAATTGTTGACGTGGCTTTCAGCCTCTGATCTGGCTGTAATGACATGAAGAGGAATTTAATGTGAAATACTGATGGCACCAGCCATACAGAAGGAACTGTAAGTATGGTCGAATTGTCTTCGGAGGCATGTCTGTGCTACTGCAGCCCTGGCTAGATTGGATCCAGGCTCAAATTGTCCCCAGTATTGCCTTCTGAATTGGATTCCAATTTTCTGGTATGTGTGTGAAGGCACCTGTGTTCACAGAGAAGCATGCTTCCCATTCTTTCTGAAAACTGTCATAGTTGGGAGCGTAAAAGCACTTTCCACGACGGCGCTCGGAAGGTCTTCTCAGCAGGCTCGTGAAAAATATGCAGCTGCCTTAGTGGAGCTTTAAATGTCGTGGGCATGTAACACGGATGATTTAAAGAAAATTCTTTTGTTACTCTAAAGAGATTTTAGGTTTAAATTTACTGAAGACTTCAAAAAGTAGAAATGATCAGAATGCTGCAATTTGTAAGGAGCTGATTCCGGAGACCTGGGAATAACCCCATGGGTAACCTGGAGTCCATCCACATCAGATGGCTTCCAAAGGACGGGATGCAGCAACCTGGGAATGTCTAATGCCACAGCACCTCACCCCGGTCTAGTCCTCCCATGTTTGCTAAAATCACTGGAAGGGGACAGGAACACTTTTGCAAGGAAAAAACAAACAAACAGCAACAACAACAACAACAAAATGAATTTGAAGGTGGGAATTGTGCAAGATAAGACACGGAAGAGCCTGTCCCTGGTGCCTGGTGCGGTGCACCTCCTCCTCCACAACCCTCCAGGGAGTTAGTGAGGGTTACAGAGGATGGAGCAGTCTGCCTGCTGGAAGGAAGAAAGGAAGGAGGGAAGGGAGGGAGGGAGGGAGGGAGGGAGGGAGGGAGGGAGGGAGGGAGGGAGGAAAGAAGGTCCTCTTGCCAGAGGTGCCTTTCTCCGTGTTATTTGTTTGTTTGTTTTGAGACAGGCTCTTTAATTGATACAGTTTTGGGAAATACTACCAGTGAATCACATCAAGGAGCAGCTGTTTTCCATTTAGAGGGGAAGGTTGGGAGATGGGAGGTGAGGAGGTGGCAAGAGATAGAAGACGAATGATGGTAGGAAACTCATCAATATGTGGGGTGCTTTGAATTTACAAGTCCTGGTTGCAGAAGGAAAGGGGCCCTGGGGGCGGAGAGTAGAGGGAGGGCGGGGAGAGACAGTGGAGATAAAAAGGATTAAGATGCATACGTGTATGTACCAACACCCGTGATGAATGTATTCAGTACGCGGTGCAAATATGTACTAATAAAGAAGGAAAAAAGTGACAGGGCTGACTCTTTGGATATCCAGAGGCAAGGACTCATTGCACGGACAGAGGAGACTCATGCACTGGGAGAAGAAATTCCAGAAAAAACACGAGTTAATGAGCCTGATAATTTTCTGCCAAATATTCCTCTTTTGGTTGCAAAATTCAAATTCTATTAATTTTCTTTTTAATGACT